ATTAAACATGCTGCTCGTCGGGTGTAAAACGTCGTTTCTGGTCGTTTGGCTCAGTTGAAGGTTCAGATCTTCACCGTGAAGTTTCTCGTCAGTTAAAGATGTTTCATGTTTTTCACGTTATTTCATGATGAACGTGAAACATGGACGTTACTACAGAGGAGGAATATTTTACTGTGAAATAAAAACCCGGTCCCGATTCTCCACTGTGTAGACATACATGTAGAAATACACATGTATGTATGATCATGTAGGCCTATATCTACATGATCAGATCGTGCAGAGTCGCGGGGCCCCCGGAGGAGCAGGGGCGGGCAGAGGCCTCAGTCCGCGGCGGGAGGAGCGGGACACCGGGACTGAGCCGCAGCAGCAGCCGGGGATCAGCTTCATCCTGCGGGGGATCCTGAGAGGTTGTTTTAGTCTTTACTTTTATTTTGAAGGGCAGAGACGTGACCAGCTGCAAACTCCCGCCAACACCGTCCCCTCTGTGTTCTTTAAAGACTTTAAAATAATAAAACTGAAATTATTATTAATTATAAGTTACCATTATTATTATTATTACTTTTATCATTATCATTATTATTATTATTATCATTATCATTATTATTATTATCATTATTATTATTATTATTTTTATTATTATATTATTATTTCAGTTCATTCAATTTCGATTTCATTAGGCTAATAATTTAATATAAATAAAATATTGTTTTTAAATAAAAGAAACATGTTTTAAAATGTAATAATAGACTAATAAAAATAATAATAATAATAATAATAATAATAATAATAATAATAATGAACCAGGTTTTCCTTTTATGTCAAACAACAAATAAAATTGTATTTTTAGTCATTTCTTCTTTAGATTTAAAAGCAAATTAAATTAAAAATGACATTTAGTCCAAATTAAACATTTTCTGTTTTAATCTTGTCAGTCTTATTTAACCTAAAACCACAAATGTCCCAGAGGATTTTACAATCTGAGATTCAGGAAAACAAACAAACAAACAAACAAAAACATTATCAAGAGCAATAATAATTTGTTTTCTTTCAGATTTTCAACACATGAAGAAAACTTTTTATTTTATTGCATTTTATTTATATTTTTTTCCAAATGTGAACACAGGAAGTACAAAGCTTCTGTCGTATTCTTTCCCTTTCTCAGAGGAAACGAGTTGTACAGTTAGTGCATTCGATCCTAAAATGATGAAAAAATAGATCTGACTAAGAAGAAGAAGAAGAAGAAGAAGAAGAACAAGGCAAATAAGAAGAAGAGGAAGAAGAAGAAGAAGAGGAAGAAGAAGAAGAGGAAGAAGAAGAAGAGGAAGTGCTACATAAGGAGATGATGAGGTAAATCTGTCCAGGAAGAAGAAACAAACAGAAGGATCAGATGAACTGATGCAGTGAGAAACAAACAGACAGTCCACACATTATTATTATTATTATCCTTATTTACACATCAGATGCATAGAATACTTTCAAATCCATTTGACATAAATACCTACATTTGTTTTTTTGTTTGCTTGTTTCCAAAAAAAGACAAAAAACTACCAGAAGACTGAAAAGTGAAACTGGTCCAAACTGCTCCAGGATCAGCTGCTTCCTGCTCTGCCGCAGTGCCGCTGAGCACAGTCCAACAACGAGAGGATCACAGGCTCCTCCAACAGGAAGTGAAGCGTTTCACCTTAAAAGCACAAATTAAACTCCAGCTGTTCGATGATGTCATCAGTCTGTGATGTTCAGCTCATTAAACAAGTGATGTTCCTACGTTTCCCAGAATGCTTTTCAATGTAAAATGAAATCATTGTTGTGTTGTGAACAGAATATTTACGTGTGAACAGCGACACGTCGTTTACCGCCTCAGTTTCCGCCTGAAAACCTGGTTTTCTGTGATATTTTAAATTAAATAATATTTGAACGAAGGTGAATTTATGATCAAATCTGCTGCATCGGCTCCGACAGTGTTTTCATTCAACATTAACAAAGTCATCAGTTTTCTGTAGGTGACGTCAAAACAACAGAACACCTCTTTGTTTCCTGCCCTCACTTGTTCTGTACATTATAATAGTCTTACTTTGGTGAATTACTAGAGAACACAACATTGGACCTAATGATCAATGTTTTGCTCATTTTAGCAAAGTTTTTATCCATAAAGCTAAATTTATTAAGACCCCCCCCCCATCTTCATGTTATTATAATGAATTAAAACTATGTACTAAGTCCTTGAAATGAATGAAATCTAATTGATGATAAAAAAAATGACCTCACTATTGAATATGTATGTTTTTATTTTCATTTCATTTAATTATTTTTGAATAGTTAATTCATTATTTACTCTGTTTAATGTGTTTTACTGTTTGTTGTTGTTTAGTTTCTTTGTTGTCTGTGTAAATGTCTCTTATGTCTGTTTGTTCTTACGACTTTATTTTTCTATAAAATTCAGAACTGTCTTTAAGTTTGTAAATTTGAAGTTTAAGATAAAAACAAAACAAAAACAAAAGCGATGAGGTTCAGACTGAACATGAATTCATGTTGGACAGGAAATGAAAACATGAATGAAACACAGTGCGGTGCGGATGTTAGCAGAGGCTGCTCTTCCAGGACTTTCTGATTGATGGGTGAAATTCAGTCGTGTGTATTTCTGCAGAAAGAAGGTTTTTGTACGAACATCACAGACTGAGGGTTTTAATTTAGTTTAGTTGATTTTTCTGACGCAGATGAAGTCGCACAAAAACTTCCTCGAAGGAGAAAACTTGTATCTGAGTTCAGGATGTTCTACCTCTCCACTCCCTCCCTCCTGTTTCTCCGTCCTTCCTGTTGGAGGAGCCTTGTTTTCCTCCGTCAGACATGTTTGTGGGTTCAGCAGACTTCCTGTGCGCCGGTCTCCGTCTGTTGCAGACAGACGCTCAGAAACCTGCAGCCGAGCAGCTTCTCCTCTTTATTTCAGGACACTGGTTTTTGTTTGGCACCGAATTCGGCCGTCGAGCATTCAGTCACCAGCTGTGACCGCCGGGTTTTATTTTGGCCTCTTAGAAGCGTCAGATCTCCTCTTCAGTCCGACTCCAACAGGAAGTCAGGTTGTGTTTTAAGCTCCGCCCTCGTGGCTGATCAGAGCTTTTTCCCATCGTCATCTTGTCCATGTCAGGAGTTGTCTTTTTGACTTCCTGCTGAGGCCTTCAGGGACACCACCATTGCTCGGAGAGGTGAGCTGTCCGTGTGTGTGTGTGTGTGTGTGTGTGTGTGTGTGTGTGTGTGTGTGTGTGTGTGTGTGTGTGTGTGTGTGTGTGTCATAAATCTCTGTAGAAGGTGGATCTGGATCTAACAAACAAAATAATAAAGTGTATGCGTGTAAATGATTGGATCTGACAGTCTCAGTGTTTGAAATTAAGAGGAAATGTTTGACATTTACAGATTTTCACATTTTTGTACCAATTCATCAGGACACGTCGACAGATTATTGCATCTCTGAGTGAAACAGTGATTTTGTGATGAAGCAGAAAAGAAAGTGAAGCTGTGATCGAACTGTGAATGGAAGTTTGTGAACTTTAGGTTTTAACTGATTTCATTCAGACATCAAGTTTGAAATCTGTTTCCTCCAGATGTTTATGACAAATCCTGACGAGCATCAGACTGTTGGAGTCTCACAGACGACGCTGTGTGTCTGAATGTGCAGATTTTTTACAAGATTCAATTAGAAACTTCAGTCATTTACAAGCTGCTTGTATTCAGATTTTAAATGGCGTGTATAATACACTTGACTTCTTGCCGATTTGTGATTCAGTGAAACGACTGATCTGAGCTCAGAGTCTCTACTGAACCTGTAAAAGTTTACGTCTATTTTTTCCTGCTTTTTCAGACAAATGAAAACAGTGACGGAGCCTCAGACCACGACGTTTAAAATCAGTAGATTTAAAGCTCCTCCAGTGTAAAGGTCTGTGTCCATGTGTAGTGTGATTATAGATCAGCTCTAGCTTCTATATTAATACTGTGAAAGTATCAAAGCCTCAGTCCACAGAGAAATGCACACAGCCTGTATTCAGAAACTGAGCCTTAAAACCAGCCGTCAGGACTTCTGGAACTTTGTGATGTCACAACAAAGCAGTCACCAAGCCCCGCCCACCTGGACCCACCATCCAAACCTTGCAGGATTTGGTTTCTCTGAGTGTTTTTACCTGAAATCTGCTATATTTTTATTGGATCACTCAGAAAACAGTCAGCCAATCAGAAGAGAGGCTCAGAGCCTCCTCTCTTCTGATTGGCTCACCGACCTGTTGTTACTAGAGCTCCAGAGAGAAGCCTGAGAGAGGAGATGTGAAACTACTCTGAGATGGTATTTGGTTCTTAAAACCTCAAATATATCTCCTCATGGATCAACACTTCAAATAAAACACAGAAGAAGAAGAAGTTATGAAGCTTTAAGTTTATGAATCTACACGTTCATTAATCTTCATTCACAGATTCGTCACAGCTCGAACTCTGTAGCTTCACACTGAGCTAGCGTTAGCCTCATGGCGTTCAGTTTCTTTTTCCTTATTTGATTGTTTCCTGTTGAACAGCGTCCTCTGTGACCTGTGGCCTCAGTGACCTCAGTGACCTCAGTGACCTCAGTGACCTGTTTTCATGAAACTGCTTTTTTTTTTTTTTTTTTTTTTCAGTTTTTCATCTTTTTTTTTTTTTAAATACACACATTAAACACATTAAAAGTGAGTTACTACAAATCTGCTGCAAAAAATTTGGAAAATCTTTACGACGACAAACTCATCAACCTGAGTTTAAACACTGAGCTGCAGTTCATCATTAGCCGCGTTAGCCGCGTTAGCCTGTCCTGTTCACAGAGTCTGATCCTGACAGAGGAGGAGCAGCGCCTGAACGCACCTTTAAAGTCCTTCAGGTTGTTTGTGTGATACTTCAGCCGATACGACTTTATGGAGGTGTGTGTGTGTGTGTGTGTGTGTGTTTGACTGTGTGTGTGTGGGTGTGTGTGTGTGTGTGTGTGCTGCAGTTTAGTCCTCGCTGATGACATCCACGTCCTCCCCGGCGCCCTGCTGCGTGGCCGCCCTCCAGCGGCTGACGTGTTGACTGCCCTTCCTCTTCTGCTGAGCTTCAGGAGACTCCTCCTCCAGCTTCTGGCGCTTGTGCTTCGTCCGGCGGTTCTGAAACCACACCTTCACCTGGACGGAGAGACGGCACAGGTGAGATCTGATTAAACAAAAACACACACTGCCTCGACTGAGCTGAGGAGATGTCAGCCTCTTTATCTGTTTCTACAAAAGTAGAAGCAGAAAATGGAAACACTTGTACTTTACTTCAGGAGATGTAATTAATCAATTTCCACTAATGATTTGCACGATACACTTTTACCCTTACAGACAAGACTCAGGGCTGAAAAACCTTTTGTCACCCTCCACTTTCAGCAGGCGACGAAACAATCCCACCACGTTTAGTACTTGCTCTGGAGCTTTAGATTGAATGACATGATCTTCCTCAGCAGTTACCCGGAGCCTCATGTTTCATAATCTTTGCTACAACCACGACGGCTGCAGCTCCGCCTCCTGCGCCTGTCAGTCAAAATAATAACTGTGTGAGAGCGTCTCTGTGATTTCAGGTCTTTAACATGAACGTGAGCTGCAGGACTGTCAGGACTCGTCCCGGAGAAGTCGCCGCGCTGACTCAGAGCTCGTGTTGCACAATCTGTCAGCGTGAACCAGGAACCGAGGTGACGCTTTAATACCAGCTCCTGTCCGTGACGACACTGATGTCACTCTGACGGCGTTATCGCAACACAGACAGAAACCAGTTTGTTGAATAAATCACTGACAGTGACTGATCGCAGTTAAATGACGACGAAAACCAACAACCAGGACTGTTTTTTATTTATATTTCACTTTTTACTGCTCTGCTTTTATTTGACAGCTGCTGTCACCAACACACACACACACACACACACACACACACAGTCTCAGGTGTTTGCAGGTCTGACTCCACCTGCTCAGGTTGCAGCTGTGTAAAGCTCTGCTGAGGTTACTTTAGGTCACACTTCAGGTGTTAATAAGACGACAGAAGGAACAAGAACACACAAGATTAAATCCAGACGATCCTCGGTGAACGTGGAGGCGGGTCTCAGGTCTGTAACAGATCGCTCCATCATCACAGCAGCTCCACATGTGACTGTGTCTGCTGATGACAGTGATTGATCGATCTCTGATTGATTGATTACTCTCTCTGTCTCCTTCTTCCTGTCCTCTGTTGTGAAATCAAATTAGCTCATAAATAATTGTGGATGATTCACGTCGTTCCTCTGGCGTCAGGGCTCATCTCGCTGTCAATCACTGCTGAGAAAAGGCGGAGGGCGCTGACTAACCATCGACTCTCGACTCACCCCCCCTCCCCCTCCCCCCCCCCCCCCCCCCCCCACCCCCACCCAAACATTCCTCTGATCTGGATCATCAGCAGCACCTTAAACGCAGCGTGACGTCAGATCTGACCTGGTTTCATCCTCAGACACGAGGCGCTCAGAAAACTGATCAGAGACCAGGAGTCTGACTGGAAACCACGACGACGAGCTGCCGTCGGTCACTGAGCAAGGCAGCGACACCTTCAGGGTGTGAGGTTCAAATCCCAGCTTTTCTTTTTCATCCATTCATGTGTCATTCAGAAATTAAGTTTATATTCATCACCTCATGTTTTCATTCACTCATTTATTCATCACTGACAAATCCTGTTTGTTGGTTCTTGTTATTTTGAGGTGGAAATTTTTTTACGTTTCGTTTTCATAAAAGAAAAATAAACTCCTGTAAAGGCTCCATTTCCCATCATGCCCCCCTCCTCTCCCTGTTTCCCATCATGCCTACCTGCGTCTCGGTCAGACACAACCCGCTGGCCAGCTGCTTCCTCTCGGCTCCGACCACGTAGTGATTCTTCTCGAAGGCTCGTTCCAGACGCAGCAGCTGAGACGGAGAGAACGCCGTCCGGATCCGCTTGGGTTTCCTGGAGAACGGACCGTGAAGCAGCAAGTTCTCCGGACTGCTGTCCTCCCCTGAACACACACACACACACACACACACACACACACACACACACACACACACACACACACACACACAAAAACACACACAGGTGAATAAATCTGAATGAAGAACAGATCTGACTCTGACATGAAACCTGGTCAACAGGTTCACGGAAAAAGATTTAATAAAAATAAAAGTTGGAGACTAAAGACCAGAGACACTAGAGACTAGAGACACTAGAGACTGGAGACACTAGAGACTGGAGACCAGAGACTAAAGACCAGAGACTAAAGACTAGAGACTAGAGACTAAAGACCAGAGACTAGACACTAAAGACTAAAGACTAGAGACTAAAGACTAGAGACTAAAGACTAGAGACTAAAGACCAGAGACTAGACACTAAAGACTAAAGACTAGAGACTAAAGACTAGAGACTAGAGACTAAAGACCAGAGACTAGACACTAAAGACTAGAGACTAAAGACTAGAGACTAAAGACTAGAGACTAGAGACTAAAGACTAGAGACTAAAGACTAGAGACTAGAGACTACAGACTAAAGACTAGAGACTAGAGACTGGAGACTAAAGACCAGAGACTAAAGACTAGAGACTAAAGACCAGAGACTAGACACTAAAGACTAAAGACTAGAGACTAGAGACTAAAGACCAGAGACTAGACACTAAAGACTAAAGACTAGAGACTAAAGACTAGAGACTAGAGACTAAAGACCAGAGACTAGACACTAAAGACTAAAGACTAGAGCATAGAGACCAGAGACCAGACACTAAAGACTAAAGACTAGAGACTAAAGACTAGAGACTAGAGACTAAAGACCAGAGACTAGACACTAAAGACTAAAGACTAGAGACTAAAGACTAGAGACTAGAGACTAGAGACTAGAGACTAGAGACTAAAGACCAGAGACTAGAGACTAAAGACTAAAGACTAGAGCATAGAGACTGGAGACCAGAGACTAAAGACTAGAGACTAGAGACTAGAGACTAAAGACTAAAGATTAGAGCATAGAGACTGGAGACCAGAGACTAAAGACTAGAGACCAGAGACTAAAGACTAAAGACTAGAGCATAGAGACCAGAGACCAGACACTAAAGACTAAAGACTAGAGACTAAAGACTAGAGACTGGAGACCAGAGACTAGACACTAAAGACTAAAGACTAGAGCATAGAGACCAGAGACCAGACACTAAAGACTAAAGACTAGAGACTAAAGACTAGAGACTGGAGACCAGAGACTAGACACTAAAGACTAAAGACTAGAGCATAGAGACCAGAGACCAGACACTAAAGACTAAAGACTAGAGACTAAAGACTAGAGACTAGAGACTAGAGACTAGAGACCAGAGACTAGAGACTAGAGACTAAAGACTAGAGACCAGAGACTAGAGACTAGAGACTAGACAATATATTTTGTGGATTTTGTCCAACATCAAACTACATTGAATGTACAGTATGAAGGGATCTCTTCATGTCCAGTAACAGAAAACCAGCTCAGGGGGTCAAGGGTCAGGGGGTCAAGGGTCAGGGGGTCAAGGGTCAGGGGGTCAAGGGTCAAGGGGTCAAGGGTCAGGGGGCCGCTGGTCCTCACCTGGAAAATATCCCAGAAAGAGACACAAAACCACTACAAACAACATGGCTGTGTGGTTCAGGGTTGTTGTGTGTCTCTGTGGGGGTCTTTCTCCTGTGTGTGTGTGTGTGTGTGTGTGTGTGTGTGTGTGTGTGTGTGTGTGTGTGTGGGGGG